AGAATACATACTAACCTGTAAGAGTTATATTATATTAATAAGTATTAAAATTTTACTTCTATCAAAGCTTAGTTTAAAAGAAATAACTAGGAAAAATAAGGTATAATTATAGATTATTCGATTAATAAAATAATCTAGAATTTATGACTAAAGTAAAGATTATTAGCTTAGTTAAAGTAGAAGCTTAGAAATTAAATATAATTATTAGTTATTAGTATAAAAAAGAGAAAGATAAAGAGGTAAAATTACTTATAATACTACTATTAACTATACTACTAGAGTAGAAGATCTTTATATAAAAATGTTATTTAGTATATAAATAGGCATATACTATTTTATCTAATAAACATTCTAAGTAGTAATATAGAATTAAAAAATAGAGAAAGAGTACTCAATCTTAAACTATACTATAATAGAAATCTTAAAAGTATAACTCTTTAAATTAAAAAAAAGTAAGATTTATATCTTACTTTTAAACGAAAGAGAAGTTTACTAGACTAGATTCTTTAAATATATATAAGAAGAAGAAAAAGAAAAAAAGAATTAGAGCTCTGTTTATACTCTATAGAAGATAGAGAAGTAAAAGAGAAAAAAAAAGTAGTAAAGATTAATCTATCGTAGAGATAAGTACTAAGTACCTTATCTACTATAGATAAAAAAAGTAATATTAAATTTATATATAGTATACTACATTATAAGACTAAGTATATTTACTTAATAGTTTATTAGAAAAAGTATTACAATACGACTATAGATTAATTAGATTATACACTATGCTTAATACTAAAAGAAAGAAATATTAAACTAAATACTACTTAATAAAGTCAGACTATAAATAGACTAAAGATGTAAAAGTTTAAATTATCTAACTATTAAAATTATAGTTAATACAAAAGATAATTAAATAATCTTTAGTTTAAGAGACTATATTATAAGATTAAGAGATAGATAATTAGTAAATTAATATATTAGTATAATGTAGATTATATAATTATCTCATTATTTAGCTATCTAATAAGATTAGATAGTAGAAAAGAGTATACTAATTAAGAAAAGCCTATAATTAATAGATTTAGTTAGACTAAGAAAAAAAGTAAATAGTCTTACTAATCTATCTATCTAGATTAGTTGATTAATTAGTTTATTATTTTGATACATTCTATTTAATTTAAGTTTCTAATATATAATACTTTTTAAGCTCTTATATATAAGTCTTTATAAGTATATTCATATAAAGTATCTCTTTAGCCTCATTCATAAGCTTTAACAAGTCTTCTCATATAGTATTTAGTAATTATATAAAGAATTATTTTATACGCTTTGATTATAACTTATATTGATATAAATTATTTAGTATTCTTAATATCTGAAGTATTTCTAGCTAAGCTTCTTATAGTAGAGTATAAAAGTATACATTAAGATAATTAATAACTCTCTACGCGTTAATAGAGACTAGCTTTACTATCTTCAAGATCTTCTTATAGTTATTAGATATAAAAATATTAAAAAATATATCTTAAAAGACTAAAAAGAAATTCTTATTATTACTATACTAGATATAGTAGCGTACTAAGTCTTATATATATTAAAAGTACTTCTACTTAAAAAGAAAAAAATAAATAATATTAAGTAACTAAAATATATATAATAAAAAAGTAGATATATAAAGGGTAAGAATTATTTATATAAGATAATAGTTTCTAATTTCTTAATTAAAGTTACTTTGAAAGCTACTAAGAATAAGTAGTCTATATCACTTTACTTAATATATCTTTATGTATTTATAACAGTACTTTAACTATACTAAACTAAGCTTATCATTTATTTAGTTATTCTTAAATACCAAGAGCTTCTAATTATATAGTATATTAACTTTTGTATACTAAATAGAGATTTAGATACATTTTTTATGAATAATTACTAATAAAGTAGCGTATTCTATATTATAGATATTGTTAATAACTATAATCTATTTATAATTAATTCGTTAAGTAAAACTAAATTTAATATAATAATCTATAATCTATTTATAATTACTTAGTTAAGTAAAACTAAATTTAATATAATACTCTATATCCATAATCATGTCAATTAAAATGATTATACTTATTTAAAAATTAGTTAAAATAAAATTATAGATATTATTAAATAAACTTTATTCTTCTTAATAGTTTTATATATAAGCTTAAACTATATATTGATAATTCTTAGATTCTATTATAAAATTCTCTAATAATCTTTTACTTAATTTAATACTATGCTAAGATTATCTATATACAATTTAAACTACTTTAGCTAATTCTTATTTAAAGACTTACTATCTTATATCTATAGTAGTTTTTATACTCTATCTACTACTTTATATTGTTATAAAATAAATTTTAATAAGTCTCTATTAATAATATATTATATAATTATTTACTTTTTAAATTTATTTAACTTTTAGTAATTTAGCTATATTATAGATGAAAAGGTAATTCCTTAAAGCACTAAGAGATCTACTTATAATAGATATTATAGACTATAGTAGCGTATTAAATACTTTTAAATTAGTTTATATAATAAGGGTTAATAGCTAGACTAAGTCTAGCTTCTTACTAAGTAAATATTATATTCTATTATTAAGGTATCGTTTATTATATATAAAGCTTACGATACTAAGAAAAAGTAGTATACTTAGTGGGGTGGCACTTTTAGTAGTGTAATACGTTATCTAATATTTTATTTATAAATATAAAACAGATATAGAAGTTAGTAAAGTCTTTAGTTACATCATTACCTAGCTATAATTCATCTATTAGTTACCTATATTTTCTACTACTTAGTTATTCTTAACTAACTCTATTTGTTCTTCTGTAAGCTATCTTATATTTTAGAAAGTATTTATTCAACCTCCCTATGATACTTTCTATATAGTAGTAGTTGTTTCGGTCTTGTGAATGTATAGAGAGATAACTAAGGAAGCGCTATAGTGTGGCAGACCTGCTAATTCCAAGTAGGTTAGTTAATGAAGTGATCGACAGACACCCTGTTGCATATAAGAAGATTCTTTAAAATCGCTATATGGTGCGTTATGATTCATATCTATATCGTTCACCATTCCTCCTTGCTATCTTGTCCGCCACCTGTCGAGTGGGGGCTATGCAAATATCTCTAACATACAAACAGTCCTGGGGCAGAGACACTCTACAATCCGTTCTTCTTCAGGTAGTCTCCAAGCTCGGCGACGGAGGAGAAAGCATTGGTAGTCTGGATGTTTTCGGGGTGGTGGGCGATGATGACGGCCTGGCCGGTCTTGAAGGCGACAACGCCCTCTTTGCCCTGGTGTTACAGTCAGTACCTGGCGGGTGTGGGCGTTTGTGGCAGAGGTGGAGAGGGTACCTTCTTTGCCTTGAGCGCATCGTCGCTTGCCTCGATGGTCATGTACTTGACGCCGTTGACCTTGATACCCTCTGAGATGACCTTTTTGGGGTCCGACTTGTCATTGAAGGATTTGGCAATGGCTGCTCTTTCCTCATCAGACAGCTGTAACCTGTCAGCATCCGGGTGTATTGTAGTAGGCCACGCGACGGCACTGCCATTCCATGTTTTGCTGCAGGTCCAGTAGCTGTACCCCGCGCAGGCCAGCGGACGACGTACCGTGAAGTCTGGAGAGGCGGCCCAGTTGGTTGCGCCATCGACATCGCAGATGAGGGCCTTGTCGATGTTGCCGGTGCCGACGAGGCTGGAGAAGGTGGTTAGAGGAGCAGCAGAGTGAGGGAGTTCGAGGTCAGACGCACCTGGTGTCAACGTATGCTGGCTCTGGTCAGTCTTTGCCGTGAACAATGAGGGGAGGGGCAGCGTGGTTGCTCACCTTGCCAGGACATGTTGGGTGAGGGGTAATGTGCGTGCTGCGGGAGCTAGAGTGATGAGAAGATTGACAGAAGACGAGGCAGAGCACACGGTAGATGCAGGTACTTTTGACTAAGCGGGACGAGCAGCGGGACGAGCAGCGAGAGGGCAGATGCGGTGAGAAGGTTTGGTGCTGCGTTGTTGGGCTAAGTCGCGGTTTGATAGTGGGGCTGTTTCGACCCCGCCCTCTCCCTCTGCCTGTCTGCGTCAATGCGACGAGCAATGCAATCATAATCACCTCTTCCTATCGTGACCCACAACTCTCCCAGCACCGGGCCGCCTTGTCTTGATCCTCTCTTCGTCTTGTCCTTGATCTTGCGCCATCGTGCAGCCAGCTGCTTGTCACGTCGACAGCCACCGACGCTGCTCTGGGCCCAACACAGCAGCGGCGACAACAACAACAACAAGAGCCCACCGCGATATCCGCCTAGTGTCTGTTCACTTGGTCTCTCTGGGGTCAAAAGCCAACGAGCGGGTCGAAATGCTGGCATCGGACAAGCGGACCCATGCACTGCACATCACTAAACAGTGGCTCTAGGCGCCGGCCAGCAGAAGAATAATTCCGTGTTTGGGCGCGTTGCTTGCACAGACGAAGCACAATTGCTTTGTATGACTCGGCACTCGACACTCGACATGGCCCACTGGATGCCACGCAATAGTGCGCAGCAGACAAGAGCGGCTACTGTTGATGATGATGATGGCGCTGTTGTTGCAGCAGCAGCAGCAGCAGCAGCAGCAGCGCATTTGACGTGGTCCTGTTGAGTTCTGGCCTGGCCTGGCCTGGCGTCTCCTTTGGGCCGATGCCTTTGCTTCTTGCCTCAGCTTCTGACTTTGCTTCTGTCTCTGCCTCTGCCTGGATGGCCTGGCTGGCCTGGCTAGCCTTGCACCATTATGACGTGCGCCTGTTACCCTGGCCGCTTGTCCGGGTCCCGCCGCCAGTCACGTGTCCACGCTAAGCCCCAGTCCGCTGCTCAGAGCTCATTGCCAAAAGATTACGCGTGAACAGATATCCCGATTGAATCGTACCAACCCAATGTTTAGACGCATGTAAGCTTGCACGTCACTATACGCACATCTCTCGCGACCGTACTGCCTAGAAAATCCATACCATGCCGTCTCCTTCTCCGTCTCCAGCACGCTCGCCATCGCCATCGCGAACGCGCAGCCCATCTCGCGACAGGTCGCAAACACGATCACCGAGTCGCTCTCCTTCGCCACGGTCCGGCTCGCCACGGCGCTCAGTATCCCCACGGTCTCGATCACGGTCTCGATCACGTACCCGATCCCGCTCGCCCAGATCCCTCTCTCCCCGGCGCAATGGCCGACGCAGCTACACACCAAACAGCAGATCGCGCTCAAGAGGGAGGAGCTACACTCGCAGCCCCACCCCCAGGGATGCGTCGCCAGCACCCCGCAGTGCAAAGGTGAGCACACTAAGCCGCTTGATATCAAGGACACACTTGCTTCGGGCCAGCCTTCCCAGCTCATCAGCCCGGCCCACTAACAGTCTGACAGATTGTGGTAGAAGCCTTGACCAGAAATGTCAAAGAAGACCACATACGTGAGATATTTGGAAAGTATGGCGTCATCAAGGATGTCAGGATGCCCATGAATCCAACTTGTATGCCCCCATGTCGCACTTTCGCAGTCATTTTACTCATGGCCAAGCAGTCAACATCAATCGCGGTATCGCATACGTACTCTACGAGGAGATTGACGAAGCCGAGCGTGCAATCGCAAAAATGCATGACGCACAGTTGGACGGTTCCAGAATCCAAGTTTCCATCGTGCTCCCTCGACGTCGCTTTTCTCAAACCCCTCCCCCAGCCCGGAGAGGTCCCCCGCCAGGCGACAGATTCCAAAACGACTTGGATAGCGGATATGGACGCGGTGGACGTGGACCACGAGGAGGAGGTCCACCCGGAGCATACAGACCACCGCCTATGGATGGTCCTCCACGCTACCGCTCTCCACCGCGCCGCATGTCACCTGATCGTGGACAGTGGGGACGAGGCAGAGGTGGCCGAGGGGGAAGAGGAGGATGGGGAGGACGCCCACGATCGTACACACGGTCCCGAAGCCGCTCGCCCCGAAGGAGCATCTCACGCTCTTCTTACAGCCGGTCTCCGTCGAGAACTCCGCCAAATCGAGGCTACGGCAGTAGGGATAGCCCGCCACGAAGAGGTGGCCCTAGCAGCGGCACTGGCGGAGCCAGAGGACGGAGAAGCCCCAGTTATAGCTCCTACGGCAGCGACCGCAGTCGGAGCAGAGACCGCCGATGATTGTACCATCTCTTGGGCTGTAGTGTGTTGAAAGGAGTTACTGGGTACATGGACTGAGCCCTCACGGGCAGCATTTTCGAGCGTACTGCCAACCAAGCCTTGTTCGATCGGCGGGGACATGGATGGATTAGTGACTTCGCTGCGGCCATGATGCCACCATCTCTCAAGTTGTATATCAATACTACCACGTAATCAAGTCATCTTCAGTTGAAACCCAGCCCCTTTTTCTTCGTCTTCCCTCGCCCTGAAAATGCTACTAAAATCCAGACTACCCTGCATGCCCGGCGCCTCGCCCCTCTTTGGCGCATTCGGGCTCTTCTTTCGCCTTCTCTCCTGCCCAGCCTTACTGGGAAACGTGGGAAACATCTCTGTGGGCTTAGGCTTTGGCTGCTCCCTGAAATACGGGTGAGCCAGGACCTCCTTTGCCGTTGGCCTGTATTCCGGATTGAGCGTGAGCAACGAAGAAAGTAGATCAACACCCGAGGCTGTGAGAAAGGGGAACTTTGCACGATTAAAGCCAGGTGCATTGCGGTGGTCTCGGGGCATCTTGAGGCTCTTCGCATTAGGCAGCCGGTAGAATTGCGGCCATGTCTTGTCAGAGGGTAGTCCGCACAGCGAGAAGATGAGCGAGAGCTCGTCGACTTCGTTCTTGCCTTGCAGCAAGGGCTCTTTGGCCAACAGCTCCCCAAAGATACAGCCAATGCTCCACATGTCGACTTCGGTCCCGTAGTCCCGGGTACCAAGAAGCAGTTCGGGCGCACGGTACCAAAGCGTGACCACGAGCTGTGTGAGAGGCGCATTGGAAGGCGGGATATACCGCGCCATGCCAAAGTCTGCAATTTTGAGCTGTCCTCTGTTGTTGAGCAGAATGTTTGATGTCTTGAGATCCCGGTGCATGATGAAGTTTTCGTGCAGATATCCGACTCCAGATACCAGTTGACGCAACAGCGTCTTGACTTCGGATGCCATGAACGGCTCGCTCATGTCTTCCTGCAGCGTTTTGAGGTCGTGTTCGAGGAACTCCATGACCAAAACGCATTCTTGAGGATCGTCGCCTGAGAGTATCTCGTGAAGATTGACAATGTTATTGTGCCGGCAGCGTTGGAGAATCGAGATTTCGCGTAATGCTGTGACGGGGAACCCGTCTTGGTTGTAGTCCATCTTAACTTTCTTTAAAGCCACGACAGTGTTGGAGGTTATGTCACGCGCCCGTGATACCCAGCCATAGGAGCCTTCTTCAATTTGATTTAGAGTCTCAAAGTTGGAAGTGTGTCGGCATGAGGTCCAGCCTCCGCCCTCCAGGCGCAGTAACGTTCGCTCTTCTCGAGTCTCATTTTCTTTGGGCACTTGTTCATTATCATTATCGCCTGTTGACAATCTTCTACGCTTCGCGGGACGCAAATCTGCTGCTTCTTGCGCCACGCGCACTGCCGCTTCTGCCTCTTGTTGTTGTTTCTGCAATTTTAGGCGCTTCTTCTCTTCCTTTTCTTTTTTTCGACGTAGCTCTTCAGCCTTGTCTGCTTCGTCGTTCGCCCAGCGGGATGCCATCGTTTCTTCTCTTTTCCACGTTTAGGCTTTATCCTTGAAAAGTTATGATACGAACTGCATACCAAGTCACCTTCGATATATATCGAAGTAGGACTGATGTCCGGGTTGGAGCGTGGCAGACAGCAACAGGCGGAGGCTTAGGAGGATGGTCATAGCTTCGTTCACCCCGGCGTTCCGATCTGAACTTTTGTCATTCCGAACGTGCAGACGTTATGTAGTTGCGATGAGCATGCCAACATGAGGATTCAATCCCTAATATTACTGCGAACGGCAGCGTATACTCGCCTCTCAGTATCTCGGCCAATTGGATATCGTGGGACAAAATACACTTCCCGGTGGTCGTCGACTGCGGCTGCTGCAAGTTCGGAACGGCAATGGTCGACGCCTCTTGCAAAGACGCTGGCTGAAGCCATTACTGTAAGGATTCAATTCGCCTCTCAGTAACAAAGGGCCTGACAGTACCTCCAGACGACTGGACCAATTTCCGTGGCGGCATATATGCGCCAGTGCCTTACGCATCCCGAAGGAGGCTACTACACTAGACAGACGACGAGCGGACAGGATCAATTTGGAACCAAGGGCGATTTTGTAACGTCCCCCGAAATCAGTCAAATATTTGGCGAGTTGATTGGTATATGGATATACGCAGAATGGCTATCACAGGGTAGGAAGGACAAGGTCCAAATTATCGAAGTGGGCCCTGGACGAGGAACGTTGATGGACGATGTTCTCAGGGTATGGCAAAAGCCAGATAAAAGGAATACAAGGATCAAGGCTGAGATTCTCTTAGACTATTTCGAGCTTCAAGACGTTCACCCAGAGCATTGAAGCCATCTATCTTATCGAAGCGTCGCCCTATTTGCAGAAACAGCAGGCAAAATTGCTTTCTGGGACTGATGATTTGGCAAAGAGCGAGATTGGCCTGACTGCAACTTGCAAGTATATTCCAGGCTGTAAGATTGAGTGGTGTGAGGATATCCGACTTGTTCCCAAGGGTAAGTTCTGGCTGGGCTTCGACCATCTTTTCTGATAAATTGCTGACACGTGACGTAGAGGCCACAACAACCCCCTTCATACTTGCCCATGAGTTCTTTGATGCACTCCCTATACATGTGTTTCAAAATGTAGCACAGTCTTCTATACCAGCTCCGTCAACTATCCTGACTCCAACCGGTCCTATAAAACCAAAGCACGGCGTAACAGTCCCCAAGAATAACTGGCATGAACTTGTTGTATCGCCGACTTCTCCTTACACAGAAGCGAATAAATCAGGTGGTCCGACGTCGATGAAAGATACAGAAAAGCTTGCTTTTGAGCTGACTGTATCAAAAACCCCAACACCACATTCGCTGTACTTGCCTAAACTGTCCGATCGTTACAAGAAGCTGGAAGGCACTCCAGGCGCAGTCATTGAGATTTCACCGGAATCGCTTGCATACATCTCCGACTTTGCCGTGAGAATCGGCGGTAGTAACTCCAAACCTGGCAACGCTTCGGCGCCAGCCAAAGGGTCTGATGTATTATCCAAAGACGAGGAGACGTTTACAAAATCGCAGCCTTCCGGAGCCGCTCTCATTCTTGACTACGGCCCGCTAGATACGATTCCTGCAAACACACTTCGCGGCATTCGATCACACCAAACCGTCTCACCTTTTGCAGCACCAGGTCTTGTGGATCTTTCGGCGGATGTAGACTTTATCGGTTTAGCAGATGCTGCTTTGGACGCCTCTCCTGGCGTGGAGGTCCATGGCCCTGTTGAGCAATCCTTCTTCTTGTCAACCATGGGGATCAAAGCGCGAGCGGATCGCTTGCTCAAGGCAGCGAAGGACGAGGAAACGAAGAAACGGTTAGAGATGGGGTGGAAACGGCTTGTGGACAGAGGCCCGAATGGTATGGGCAAAACGTACAAGGCCATGGCCATTGTGCCGTATAAGAAGCAGGGTCCGGTCCGAAGGCCGATTGGATTTGGTGGGGATGTGGCTGCATGAAGTCGTGTGAAGATGGAGAAGATCATTGGGGTAATGTGCCACATGGGTATGGTGTGTTCAGTGTTGCCCGATGGATCGGCAAGCGTCGAATGTCATAGTCCTACGATGATTCGAATCGGGCGCTGTACTGCGCGACGCTTGTGACTTAATGTATTTTTAACAATAACGTCATGTACATGTATCTAGCTACTTGGTTTCGGAACATTCGCGTGTAGTGATGGCAGGGCTCAACGAGCAGCTCTGACAGACTTGGAAGCGCACAGAGAATATCTACGGTTCTTTTTTTTGTGGGGGAAGGACGGGGAGATTAACTTGCTTTTTCCTGCTCAAAACTGTTTTTTGTTTGCACTTGCAATATAGACTTGCTCGGGTGAATATTCAGTATACATATACACATACAAGAAGCTGAAATCTAATCTACTTGGTACTGTATGTCCATAGTCAGGTAGTTGTCGTGGGGGCAAGGGGTTGCAGGGGTAGAACGGAGCAGGGGTGTAGTAGGCGACGATGACGTTTGGTGGCCGGCAGTAGGCCGGCGTGCAACCTTGATTACAACATTGTTGGGCATGTCGAGCCAGAAGGAGGGGACAAGCACCGCAGCTGCTGCTCGTGCCATTCCTTACTTCACCACCCTCTCCTGGTCCGTGTATCAATTGAAAATCGCCCTGCTTGCCTCGGCCTCGCCGTCGGACATGGCCAAATCAACCGCCCTCCAGACCAATCTCGACGTCGACTATGTCATCACCTACCGCTTTGCCGACACGGGTATGCTTGCTCCCATGGCGGTCTGAGTGAAGCACTGGGCTGACGGGCACACAGACAAGGCTAAGGCGACTGCGCAGTTTGAGAAGCTGTGCGAGGCGCTGGCAAACGCTGGCTTACAGACCGAAGTCCGCAACGGCGACTCGCACTCACTTCTGCTCTTCGTAAGGGTTGCTTCTGACGAGCACCTGTTTGGCGAAGTATACAGGTCCAGGTATGCATCGCCTCTGTGTTTCCTCAGCAGATGAATGGCTAACCCCTGCCCAAGGGTCCGCGACTGGATCCACGGCGTCCGATCTGCTGCCCCTGAGAATGTTACGCGTGAATCGCTCGAGGCAGAGCCATTGTACGAGGCCGAGCGGCTGCGCATCATATACCAGCTCATTACAAACCCCACGTCAGAAGGCGGAGCCGGCATAACACCCAAAGAAGGCGAATGGAAGAACGTCGAGTCCATCTTCGCCCTGCATGACCATGCGTACAACAAGGATTGGATCAAGAAATGGACATCACAGTACATCCTCAGCACCGAAGACTTGGACGACATCCGCAACCGCATGGGAGAAAAGGTAAGCTGCTGTCTTTCGGCCTGGGGCGGTCCAGTGTTAACGCGACCAGATCGCCTTTTACTTTGCTTTCACCCAATCCTACTTTACCTTTCTCATTCCAGCTGCCGCGTTCGGCCTCTTCTCATGGCTGTTCCTCGGCTATTTCTCGCCAATCTACGCTCTTG